CAGTCTTAGAGTGGCTAGAAAAGAAATTGGCAACTTGGAGGCTAAATGCTTGTCCTTAGGGGGCAGAATTACCCTGTTAAAAAGCTCCTTATCCAATTTGCTGGCATTTTATCTCTCCTTATTCCCAATTCCAAGTAAAGTGGCCCAAAGAATTGAGAGGCTGCAAAGGGACTTTTTATGGAAAGGTTGGAAGGAGAATAGGAAGAAAATACACTTGGTGAGTTGGGACAAGGTGTGCTCTTTGAAAAGTAAAGGAGGCTTGGGTATTAGGCGAATGAGAACCTTTAATAAGGCTCTTCTTGGGAAATGGATCTGGAGGTTCAGGTTGGAAAGAAACCACTTGTGGAGGAAGTTAATGCCAACAAAATACAACATAGATAGAGGAGATTGGATCACCACTTCTCCCCCATCCTTAGGCTGTTCAGTATGGAGGAAAATAATGGACATTCTCCCCATTTTCAGTAGAGGCTTAAGCCCCAACCTTGGGAAGGGTGACAGGCTGTTCTTCTGGAAAGATCCCTTCCACACTCCTCTCTGAGTTATTTCCACATCTATTCCAGTTAGCAGACCATCAAGATGCAGTGATTGCTGAATGTTTTGAGGTGGTGGGGAACTCAGTAGCCTGGTGCCCTTCTTTCAGAAGGAGTTTTCAGGATTGGGAAATTCCTGTCCTGGCTGATCTACTTGATCTGCTCTCCCTTCAACCCCTAAATCTACTCAATGAAGACAGCTGGTCCTGGACTTGGAGTACAGATGGCCTCTTCTCAGTCAAGTCATTTGCCACTCACATGACAATGAGTACTTCAGAAGATATGCCTACTTCCAGAATCTGGAATCCAACCTCTCCCTCAAAAATCAATGTCTAGTGTGGGCTGCAGTTCTAGACAGGTGTTTAACTAAAGCCAACCTATGTAAGAGAGGGGTTCATATTCAGGACCAGATGTGTGTGTTATGTAGTCAAGGAGTGGAAGATAGCAGTCATCTGTATCTGCACTGCTCAATATCTGCTAGAATTTGGAATCATTTTCTTGGTTCGGTGGGTCTTGCCTGGTCAATGCCAACTTCGGTGAAGATGTTGTGGAGCTGGGGATTACAGGGATTGTCAAAGCTTGCTTCAGTTGTGTGGAATTCAATCTGCTCAGTTGGGGGCTAGGCTGAATTCTAGGAGCCTATGGCATCTGTAATTTTGCTATGTTTGGGCTGTTTCCCCATCTAAGGTGTTTGGGGGCCTTTGTACTAGTATTTTCTATTAATAAAAATTACATTACCTTTTCTCAAAAAAAAAAAAGAAATAGTTCCTTAGTTTTATATACCATTCAGCATGTATATTAATTGAAAAAATAGCAATTCTCTTTAGTAAGAACATTAAATTTCCTCTAAAAATGTGGCAAATCATCACATTTAAAAGATAAAAATCTTTTACATATATTAATTTCATTATTTTAAAAAATAATAATACTGTAATAAGTATTTAAGAGAGCAGTTTCATATCAATTAGCAGCTAAAGAGGTTATTAACTTTATATGATAAATATTCAAGATGGAAATTAAAATAGAAAAAAACAAGGATGGAGTTTCTGTTTGATTTAATTAGAGACATAGAGAATAGAAAAAAAAGAACCTCTTTATAATTCTATTCTTTTTTTTCCTCTTACCTTTCTTTTTTTTCTTCTCTCTTCAAAACCCTTTGATCTTTTAAATTTCAATAGTAAAACATTAAAACAAAAAAAAAAATCTTTTAACACATGCATTAATAGATACAACAATATAAATGATATTATAAAAGGTGCCCACCTTGTCATTTTTTGTCGCCTAGAAGGGTGCCTAGTTGCTAAAAGTCAAGGTGTTTGGGCGAGGTGCCCAGCCAAGGGTGCCTAGTCACCTAGGCGATGCCTTGACAACTATACTAAAAGCATAGTGGGATTGGGTATTGGAACAAAGGGTGAGAGCAATCTGCTAGTTTAACATCGGTTAACTCAGCAGAAATATTAGCCAGTGAGTAGTTGATTCTGGAGAACTGGGATAGGAGGGGGAGGTCCCTTTGTGGTTCTCTCAGGTGATCATTTCTTGGACAAGATGCAGTACCCAAATCCCATGGACCTACAGGCACAAAATTCAGGAAATTGAATGTATTACAAGGGAGTTGAATGTTGCTTTTAAATGGGTGAGAAAAAACAGCAAATGAGATGTTCGGTACTCTCTCTAAACAAGGGGGTGTTGGGCATTAAATGTTTTGGGCAAAGCTATAAAGTTGTTTGAAGTGGAGAAATTTCCCACCCTGTTGTAATCTTCAAGTTTGACTTAAAAATCTTCTCTTATTGAACAAAAAAAAGTTAACACGGAGGTCTTCCTAGAAAGGGTCATTGAAAGAAATATTAACGCAAGTCACTTGGACTCTATATCCTCCAATATTTCTGGTTATGCCTATTTTTATTTGTTGGGAAAATTTGGAATAAGGGCTCTAGCTGAAGCTAATGATGTTAATTAGGGGGCTTTTTTTTTTTTTTAAGTTTGGAGTTATAAGGAGGACAGGGAGAAAGTTCAGGGCAAGGAAGAAGGCCTACCACGAAGGTGATACAAATTTTTTAGAACTTGTGTGTGTCTGTGAAGAGGGGGAGGGGGGTGTCCTGGAGGTGTAGGCACAAGATAGAAGTCTAGAAAGTGTGAAGTGCGGAAGGGAATGATATAATGATAGGGAATACCTAGGATCCCAAAGTCTAAAGCAGTTGTGAGCTGGCTAAGGAGGAACAATGCATGTTCATGAGCATACAAGTACATCATGTGGGAGATAAGACAATTGACAGAGGAGCTGATAACAAGATATAGGTGGACCCTAAGGTCTGTCAATAACCTGACAGATGGGCTAGGAAAACAAGGAGCCACTGGAAATACGTTGTACTGGGGTTTGAATCGTTTGATTCCCTAAAGGACATTGTAAGGAAAAATAGATTGATGGCTAGCCAAATGATGGGGTGCCTGGTACATTACTGTGTATATACCATTCTTTTAAAAAGCTAATAACAGTTGCTGAGTAAAAAAAGGAAATTGTAAGGGAAAACAGATTGATGGCTAGTGGGACTAGGCGAAATGACAGGGTGTCTGGCACATCACTGTGTATATACCATTGTTTCTTAAAGTATCAAGAAAACAAATTATAGTTACTGAGTAAAAAAGTAAAATCTAGGATCCCTTATTTTTTGATCAATAATCTAGGATTCCTTTAATCTAAAAGCTTTGTAAGGCGTTTTTTGTTACATTTAAGTATGTTATTTTTTCCAATTTAGGTCCTTTTTTTGGGGGGGGGGGGTACCATTTGTCATTGTTTTGATCCTTGCTTCTTGGTTTTGTCTCATGTTGGTGTCCTTTTGAATGGGAAATTCCATGTTTTAGGGTTGGTTGCTTTGGGCAGGGGCCTAGAAGGTGATATAACCTATTGCATTTGAACAGCAATAGGTTGAACATCCTTTTACTGGGGATGGTTGGAGTTTTTACCTTGGTCTTGTACTTTTTCTCATGTTGACCTCTTTTACTCCATGGAAGAATTTTATCAGGTTAAACCTTTCACCTAAAATTTCTATACATTTGTATATATATTGAAATCAAGGATCAAAATATCGGCATTGGGCATCGTACCGAAGAACTCAGAATCGAATACGCTTTAGAAATGCATGGATACGAACGGAAAATATGGAAATGCTTGGATATGCTAGGGAAACACATAAAAATTCCATAAATACAATAGTACTAAATTTAAAATCAAATAGCCACAAATAATGTATAAATACATAGGCAATGTATATTTTAATGGTGTATGAAAAAATACATTACAATTTATATAGCAGGATGCATAGATATCATACAATTTTATTGATAATACATTAGTCAAGAGTCCAAGACACATAACATATGCACATATTATATTTTAATAATTATATCATTTATTCTCTATTTTTTTATTTTTACTTTTTTTACATTAACAAAAAAGTCAACCAAATATTAAATTCTCAAATGTAATTTTTTTTGATCAATTAATATCAATTAATAATTTATAAAAATATAATCTCAATTTAAAATATATCAAATCTACTAGAATTTTTAAGATACATATCATATGCAAATTTTTAATTACTAAAATAATTATTCCATTATTAATGTAATGTAAATTAAAATATTAATTAATAATTAAAAAATATATATATATATATATATATTAACTTTAAGTACTAAAATAATTATTCCATTATTAGTATTTTATTTGTATAAATTTCTTGAGGTGAAAATCATCTATTGATTTTAATGTGGATTTGATAGATTATTTATTCCATTAGTTTATAAAATATTAATTTTGAATATTATTCTTTTCAATTTTTTGTTGAAATTGTTAAAGATAAATATGTATTATTTATTTGGATCACATGTAGATACTGTATCTAATAAAAGATATTTTATTTTACTTATTAACATAAGAAGCAAGTTGGCCTAGTGGTTTAAAGGGTGGTTCAAGTCTTAGGCGCATTGCGTGCTAGGCAACTTAGGTTTGAATCACCCCATCTCCACTTTTTAGTAGAAAGATGCAGTGTATCAGTCCTTATCAATGTATATCGTCCAATACAATGCAATATGGACCGATACACACCCATATTGCCCCGATACGCCCCGATACGCATGACCGGCAGGATACACCTCCAATTGTAGCGTATCTAGTATCAGTTATAGTTGAGACCAATATGATACGCCCCATATCAGACGTATCGTATCGATACTTCAATCCTTGACTGAAATGAAAATTACTGTTTGAAATGAAGACAAACATATTTTCTGTTTGGATTAGATCAGGTTGCCCCAGACCTTGACTTGAGTATGAATCTTTTGAACCTCATTTCAATTTGGGATGGTGAGTTGGATTAAGCTTGGGCCTTAACCAAGTTGCAACGTAGTTGCTCCATGAGTCAAGTGTCTGCTTGGTTTAACTCTTTGTTATGATGCTTGTCCATGCTGCAGGAATGTATTCTCTGATGATGGTTCACCAATGCCAAATGATGCTGCATCACATGCAGTGCAGGCACGCTCTCTCATCTTTCAATAATTTCAATTGAATTTACATTCGTATTTTGCCTTCATTTATCACTTAAATCTGGAATTTGCTTTTAATTATGCATGGTTAATGATGTTAAATAGAGTCATATTCCTGGGGTACAAACTGGTGAAGGGACAAACTTTTCCTCACATTTCTTGTGGTTGATTTTTGAGTAAGAGATCCATTTGGTATGGTAGGGGCCATTACCTGGTGTTATGGTAAAATCTTGGGCTGGAAAGTGTGAAAACGGGTTTGAGTCTGAGAGCGGTCACTTTGTGCAAAAAAAAAAAATGCCAAAGGTTAGGACTGTATCCAGTCTCTCTCTCCCAAGACCTCAGATAGACCAACATTGGGTAATGACCTTTTTTTTGATCAATTGGATAATGGCCTTTTTGAGATCCATTTGGTATGATCAGATCCCCCAAGGTCCTTCCTGCTATTATAGTGGATACCTTATCCCTCTTCTTGAGTGAGTGGTAAAGATAGAGGCTACCTTAGATATTTTCCTGAGCTAGTTGTTGAGTTCCAAAATAGTGTGATTGTGGGGAGGTTTTGATCATCCATTTGTCAAATCTGTATGACTGTATCCTAATGTGAACCACAAGTAACACTTGGCCATCAGTGGAAACTAATTTGTGTGTACTGTTTCTGCAATTAAGAGTACTCTTGGATATCTTGACAGTTCATCACCATGGCTCCTTGACTATCCTGCACATTTTTTGTTGATTAGGATATAATCTAATGCTGGTACCTTTCAGTTAGATCCTGCTCACCTCTAGAATGTGTTTTTCTTATTTATGTCCCATGAGAAAAGGTGGAGCCTTTTAGAAAGTCCAGAGTTAGATCTTTCCATGGTGCCCTTTTTAGATGTATGAAATGCTGGTTGTATTTGGAGGAAATATGTTCCACATTGTATCGAGGCTTTCTTGTGGCCGATATTTTACTTGACAAGGTTCTCACTTTTTACCTTTCAATAATATAGGAATTCAGCTGCATGGATGTTGTATCATATGCATATCTACAAAGGAGTTGGTGAATCTGTTTCCTTTTTTGCTCCATCCTTTGAACGTTCTTTTGCTTTGTTTCAGACTTCATGGTTTGTCCTCCCTTGATGAGGGAAAGCAGTGTTTATCCTGGCATTCGGTTGTGGTTGTGAGAAGAGGAGCTACTATTTGGTCCATGGTTCCTTCTTCTATCTGTTAGGCTGTTTGGTAATAACAAAACCTAAGAAATTTTGAAAATTTGGAAGAGCTTTTGGGATGCCTATGTCAGATGTCAAGGAATTTTTGATGGATTTGTCACTAATTCTCATTTCTCAATGAGTTGAAAAACTCAAGGTGTAGTGGCTTTATTTATTGTCTGTCCAATGTTTTGGGTTTAGAGCTCAGTATATTGTAAAATTTCATCGTCTTTGGGCCTTTTCTTATATCTCTTCAATCTTCATACATGCATATTAACAAAAAGGCTTGATTACTAACCCTCCTCATCACCACCAAAAAAAAGCAAAAAGAAAAGTCCCATGAGAAAATATTCATGGTTCAAGAAATATCATTAATCCAATTGTTTGATATTGAGACAAGTCATTCCACTAAATCCCATGTGTAATTGGTCACGGTGTAATCTTTTTGTTCTTAGACCATATTTTCACATATTGACCGCTGAATCTGAGCTTGCACACCTACTTCCCTTAAATGAGGGGTTTGCACATAACCTATCAAATCTTGAGCCAAGGGGAGTTACCCACGTGGCCATATTTGTATTTGGGCATCATTCACCCATAAACTAAACTGTTAAATGGGCATTGAAAGCCTGATGCAACTGTCTTTGTTATGCTTTCAGGCTATGTCAAGGTATGCTCGTCGGGAGTCTGCTTGCCTGTCATTAACAGGTAGGTCACCATTTCCCAACATTGGTTGCTTCTCATTGTATCTTTGTAATTGCCATTTCTTGTTGGTTGTTTGTTAATTGAAGAATTAATGTGATGCACTGAATAACTGAATATAAAGCTGAGGCTTTGCATTGTAACTGAACTAATTGATTCAATGCACCACTGCCAGATACTGGTTCTTGTCTCAATTTGCTTATTAGAGAAATAGGGGGTTGAAGACATCCTTGATCTGAGAGACCATGAGGGGAATATACCATCTCATTTATGTGAAGTGAATGACTTGCCATGTTTTCTCTACCACAGAATAGATCTTGATACTATTATACAACGGAATATGCTTTTAGGTATGAGAGTATCATTAAATGAGAATATTACATAGGGTTCTTGTTACCTTGCTGATTGGCACTTACTATTGTACAACAACTGTTTCTTCTTCAACTTTTGCGATTTTGATGTCCCAGTGCTGTATGTATCTCAAGGAACTAATGGTACTTTCTTGGCTGGACAGATAGAGAAGCTATCTTTTCTGGCAACTTCAAGTTCAGCTCATTAGAGAATCTTCCGTGATTGCATGAGCTGATGAAAGAGTACTTGATGGGAATCCTGTACCTTTGCAGCCAAAACAAAGTCTCATCTGTTATCTTAGTTTCAAGACAGGCTTCCTAATCGCAAGTTAATTGTAAAGTTTTCTTGGCTTGTCATTGTTAGGATACTTTATTGGGCTAAAGGTGAGTAGCAATAAACAATCCATGTTTGTAAACTTTGAAGTAAATTGATTCTTCATTATTGGGTTGATCATTGTCTTCTAAGCTTGTGAGGTTTCCTTTCCCGAATTACATAAGGTACAACAATAGTTGGTGTTATTTATAATTTCAACTCCATTGTCATATCAAGCATAAGTTACGTTTTATGATTACAATGAGAAGGAAGATATGGATATTTCCTCTTGTTTCTCTTTATGCTTTTACGTCTTGTATCTATCCTTTATACGATGCAGATTCTTTTGTTTGAACTAATATATTATACAAAATTACAATCACTGGCTGATCATGTCTCACAGCTGCATATAACCATAATTGCCTTAATATTCAAAATTTGAGGAAAAACTGATTGATTTAGGACATGTTGGTCAGTAATGGTCTTGGATGTCTATGTATATAGGGGTGGGAGGAGAATGAAAAAAAAAGTCACAATGACAAGGGACTTTTGGAATGGTTGGGCCCTCATAATTGTTCACTTTTCAGATTGTCGGGTTCCACAATTTAATGGGTCCAAGATGAGAGATTGAGCTAAAAAGTAGCTTGGACTGGATCATACGGCTAAGTTCTGCTGTAATTATTTGGGCGGCAGTAAAAGAATCAAAAGATCGTAAAAGAGCTCAAAAAAATTCTGCACTGGTTTAGTTAAGGACCATTTGACCCGACCGATTCTTGCTGAGGGAATATTTTTGGGTGGGAATGTGTGACTGGTGGTGGTGACCGCCTTTATTTAGCATTTAGGGTCCAGTATCATCTGCATGTCCTGTAGATGCAGACCCAATACGCTGTAGAATAACAGTGATGATGGGTCAAGGAATATAGTTCAACAGTTTTCGTTTTTCCTGGTAAAAGACTTGTTTATAAGAGGAAAATTGTTAAAAGCGAAAATTTCTGATCAGTACCCGGGGTTGTGCCAAGTCAGTCCCCGAGAACTTCAAAACGTGTTTATGTAGATTCTGAACTTTCAAATTGTATCTAATAGGTTCCGAATGTTAATGGATGAGTGAAATGATAGAAATACCCGTCAGATGTCATATAATTTTCTTTATCTGCCACTTCCACATAAACTAACTCAAGAGCTGAGCAGGTTGAAATGGTAGTGCTTCAGATGCGGCGATTGTGGTGGAGAATCATCGCGTTCGTTAATGTTGAGTTCATGCAGTCTTCTTTTGCACATCTGGGGAGTGGGAGCTTCAACAATTGATCGGTGTCCAGTTTCATAACCCTTATTCCCCTTTCCTTCTTTTAACACTCAGACGAAATAGGTAAAGTGGTTAGGAAAATACCATGAAGGGTAATTTTATCATTTTAAAATTATTTAATGTGCACCTGATGCCATGTGACAGTATTGATTGATGGTCAACTAATGGTAGGGCCCTATTAGACACAATTTGAAAGTTCAAGGTACTGTAGAAACATATTTTGAAATTCAGGGACTGACCTGACACAACCCCCAAAGTACAGGTATTGGTCAAGAATTTTCTCTTGTTAAAATGCAGCTTTAGAAATGTTGATTGATCAAATCTATCTCAACTACATAACATGTTATAGCCTACAATCATGTTTCAAGGTATCGATACACTTTTGTGTATGAGAGGTGTATTGATACTTTAAAGTTTAAACCATGTTTTCAACCTGCCGTTGACTCGGCCGGTTGAACTGTTCGAACTGTCACCCAGTCAGGATTATGGGTCCGAGTCAGTCAAGACCTGTCAGACGGTCAAAAGCAGTTTGACCCAACCGGTTCGGCTGTTGACCCAGTGACCAGGTCGTGGGTTGCACACTCAATGCATGCAAATTTTCAGAGGCCATAACTTTGCACTCCAATGTTCGGTTGGGGTGATTTGTTTTTTGATTTTGGGTAGCTTTTCGAGATCCATGCGTCCCAAGGTGCTACAGGTGCCTTGCCTCGCTATTTTTGCGAAAAAACCTATTTTTTGGCCTCAAATTGCAATTTTTAATATTTTTTATAAAAAAAATTAAAAACTGAATTAAAAAACATAAATTAAATATAAAATAATACATACAACATATCTAAAACATATTTATACATTATTTATTGTTTAAATATGTATTTACACACACACACACACACACATATATATACCCACGACTTAGATGCAAAAACAGTTCGGCCTCCGGGTCGATTTTTAAAACATTGATTTAAACCATGTGCTTTTATTTTTTTAGTAAACACCTGTTTTGTAAACAAGTATATTGTGTACCCAAAGATATGGAGTGTACCGTATCGATATCTTGAACTTTGCTTACAATACAATGCTTGTGAACTGTCGTTGATCTGGCTGATAAAATTGGTAAAACCATCAGCCGGCCATAATTCCGGTTTAGTAAACCATAAACCCACAAACCTGGGTCTCCTACAAGCAAAAACTCTGCTCACATAGCATCCAATCGTATACATTGAGAATATCTTCTGCACGTATATGAAAAATTCATGGGGTGATGTTATCAATGCGTGGCTGGATTCCCATGTTTACAAGAGTGTGTGCAGAGTTTTGCTTGCAGAGAATCTTGTCGCCAAACCCACTAGCAGCTTAAAAATCATTTTTTTTTGGTAATAACAGCTTAAAAATCACTGAATTGGTCAAAATCCATTCAATCTAGGTGGTTGACCATTGACCCACTTCATCATTGATATCTACGAGTTACAATTTATATACAAACTTCTGAAGGTCATAACCTTGTAATCAGGGTGATTTTTTCTTTTTGATTTTGGATACATTTTGTGATATATGCATTCCAAAATCGTTTTATCCCACTATTTTTGCTAAAAAATATTTTTTTTGGCCTCAAATCTAATTTTTTTTTTATAAAAAATAAAAAATTAAACCAATGTCCTGCAACCTAGAGGAAAAACGGTTCAGCCTTAGGGTCGATTTTAACATCACTACAATATTTAAGTGTATTAAGCTTATACTGATATAAACAGTTTTAAAAAAGATAATTTGAATTTGGTATCTATTTTCTAACATTTTCTCTTTTTAATCCCAGTGAGTCAAATAATTGAATTACATGATCAGATTACTCGACCGTGACAGCCATTACCCAATGTTGATCCCAGCGATATGGGGTTCTGGGTGGGACTGTGAGAGGGGTAGGCTGGATAAGTGGATATGGTGTTAACATTTGGTTTTATTTATTGATTTATTTTTTCACAAAGTGACTGCTATCTATCAGGGTTGAAGCCCCGTTCTCATGACTCGTGTTTTACCGGTCCGAAATTTTATCATTACACCAAGTAATGGTCCCTACTGGTCGACCCGTGACCCAGTGACCAAAATGGTTTCAAATTTCAAATATCAATCGGTCTGAGTCCAACAATTGAGAGTATTCATTCTTTTTTACTAGGGCTCATCACTTCACCTAAGGGGTGGTCAATCAATTGAACAACAGATTTTACCAGTAGGAGACATTACCTTTATTACTTGTCACAGACAAAAACCATCTTACCTTTAGGCTGGAGGTACCCTATTACAACCCTGCAGGTTCTGGAGCCTGCAGTAACAGGGGTTTGCTTCATACGGAATGCTGATTCAATGATCCAATCTGTCCTTACATTTGATGAGAAGTGCCATAAAAATTAAACCCAACCCCAAAGTTCACGGATTGGGTGGAGACTTCAGTCTTGGGCAGTTGGGCCTACCAAAGTTCTATCAAAGAGAGGCTGAGCCCCATCATGCCTGGCCTTGCTAGAAGCTAACAGCCTAACACCCCACACCATCCTCTGCGTCGTGTATATTATTATATTGTCTTGGACCTCCTTGTCTACCTTGTCAGGTGGTGCATTTCCTGTGGCAAATGGGCTATTGTCTCGGCCTGAGCGGAAGGAGGGTCACGGAATCATGAGAGCCGTCAAATGATGCCCTTATCATTTTAGACAGGATTGCCAAACACCAAACCTGGCCCTCATCTCTTTGGATGGAAGTGTCAAGTTTCCAAGTTAACAACCTTATTTGGAGTAGATGGACATCTGAATTTGAAGCTTCAGTTCCGGGACTTCAGATCCAAACAGGTGGACAACCAAAATATGTATTCCATCCAATTGATAAAAGTCCAGCTCAGTCACGCTGTGTCATTCCTTTGTTCTACTTCACCCCAACTACTTTCATACCCACTCACACCCACCATGGCACCCCATCCCCATGCCATGCCGGAGAAAGTAATAAATTAGGCATTGTATTCATGTTCTTATATTCTTCTTCTTCTTACTATAAAAGTCGTTATTAAAATAATGAATTTTGATATGAAAATCTTGCAGAAAGCAGCCAACAGATCGCACACTTAGGAGGAATAAATTACTTAGCAGATTCATTGAAAAGGCATGTGGAGGCTCTGTTTTTATATATTGAGAGGGTGGAAGGGGGCAGCCGGGATAAAAGAGGAAATAATTTAAATATCCCATCTGCAATTACATAAAATAGATTACAGTGTATCAAGTTTTGTATGGACTGATGTGGACAAAGATGGAAGATAATTTTTTATTACAGACCACTATGAAAATGACCTTAGAACCGTCTTTTCCTGTGCTGATGCTCTGTCTCCAGTAGCCATTGAAGAATGGTTTAGCCACCCAAGACAAAACTGCTTTTGGTTTAAAGGAATCTGATCACCAACCTCTCATGATGGAAACAAAGACACACTTATCCCTGAACAAATTCCTTGTAGTACAAGCTTGGATGATAATAAAAGAAACGATAGATGGAACTGCATTTGAGTAAGAGATAGGAGAAATGATCAAGTAGTGTCATCAAGAGGAACTTTGTTCTCCACATATTTTCCAGATATTCATGGTAAAAAGAATTCGGAAAAGCCTGATCCTACTTGCCGTTGGTTTGACTAGCTAACCTCCAAATGTAATTCAAACTCTACTCCATTCTTGAAGTAACTATGGTCAATTCTCCATTGAAGGTCCATTTCTTGAGTGCTTAAAGAAATCCAATCCTTTGCTATCTATAATGGGTTCTTCCACCATCTTGTAGAACTATATTTGTCAATGAGTTTATCAACAGTATCCAAGCTGGGGCCCATCAAATTCAGTATTTCTTTCTTTTCTTAACTTGCAAATGAACAAAAACTCTAAACACAACACATCCAATCACCGACTCTATCATCCTGCCCAGATGGCTGAAATTTTCAACTTTGGTTCAAGAGGAACACTCTTTCATTGCCCTTAAATTAAGATCATCACCATCACAATTGTCATCATCATTTTGGTGGCCACAAACACTATCAATAATAGATTATTGAAATGTAAGTGTTTGGCCGCTTCAAGACATCCCCATGTTGGCCACCATCAAATCAAGTTCCCAACAGTAGTCTGAAAAATCCAAGGACTTCTATCTTCCAATTTCTTCGAGCTTTATAAGCACTTGTTTTATATCCGGTCTCAAAGATGGGGAAGGAGAACAACAAGCCATTGCTAACTGAAAGAACATGAGGATGCGCTCTTCCATGATTGACTTTTGATCACTGCCTTCATTAAGAAGTAAGCTGGGATGAAATATGTCTGAGAACTTTTGATCAAGAATTGCATTTCTCATAGAGTTTGGCAGATATAGATCCTGAGTGGGTGATGAGTTGGTGATAATGGGCCCCTTCCTGGTAAGTAACTCAAGTAAGATGACCCCAAGACTGTATATATCACTCTCTTTGCTTGCATCCTTCATCTTGATCAACTCAGGGGCTTTATATCCCTGAATGGCAGAAGCTTCAAGCATTTCCTGACCTGCAGTTGGATTCAAGAGGAAATGTAGGCCAAAATCTGACACATAGGATTGGTAACTTCCATCTAGCAAAATATTCTTTGATTTAAGATTTCCATGAATAATGGGTTTCTGCAATCCAAAATGAAGATGATCTAGTCCTCTGGCAATACCAACGAAGATCCTGTAAATGATACCCCATTTGTGTGACTCACTGTCTCCATCTGTCAATAAGAAAACATATTTTCTCCATTTAAGATGTCTTGTTTAACTTGAAAAAGAGAATAAAAAATGGCAACTCAAAATGATCTCAATTCGAACTCGAGTTAATTCTGAAAGTTTCATAAAACTAAGAGAATGAATTCTCTTACAGGAGGAAGAGGAAAGAAGAAATAACAAAAAAAGTAGTTAAGATCAAACATAATTACACACAGAGAAGAAACAACATGACTATCGGAATTGGAACAGTGAGGTGATTTCTCCACATGCACAGAAAGAATATGTGATTTCAGTGCAAATCTAATTAAGGGCTCCTCAGAAAGCTGGGAAAATAAACAAAAATACTTACAAAGTAGCCCCAAGAAAGAAATTATGTTTGCAAAGTGCGAACAAGATATAGTTGATAAAAAACTTCAAAATAAGCTTGATTTCAGTTTTTTTAATTAAGAGAACATAGTATAACAAAAGCAGATATTGATTCAATGATTCAGAAAAGAAGGAAAATGGGTGTTTTTTTTTTTGTATTTCAGTAAATGGATGTAGATACATAGACAATATGAGAAAAATAAGTACATGGATATGTCGGTCAGAAACCATAAATATAAAAAGAATGTGAAAAAAAAAGAACTTATGTCTTCATTCGATTAACGTTTTTTTCTAATTAAAGAGGCAGATATTAGTTCTCCATTTGGATTATAGAATCAAATCAAAGCTGTTTAACCTCGTCTTACATTTTTGTCAATTCAATCTATTCAACCATGATTCTAAATGTTCATCCAAGATGATCTGAAATGCATTTGCAGTAGAAAATAAATCGCAACAAATTTAAATAATAAATTGTAGGAGATTTACCTTGAATGAACTGAGCCAGAGTACCTCGGCTTAAGAAGGGATGGACAAGAAGCTTCTCTCCTCTCGGCCCCGCATAGAAGGCCTGAAGAGGTACCAAATTGGGATGCCTGACATACCCCAGCATCTGAATTGCATCAATAATCTCCTTCATCCTTCCCGTGCACGCCGGTCTGAGAAACCGAAGCAACCTCACTGACTCATGCCTCTGTAAACTAGCCTTGTATAGTGTCCCGTAATTTGATTTTCCGACAACTTCTCCCGGAGCATCCAAGATATCATGAATGGTGAGACTCTCACCACCCGGAAAAGTAAGCAAGTCCTCTGTTTCGACTATATGTTCTTCCTTGCACTCGAGGTCCTCCATCTCTGCAGATGAGCGTCGCATCCATCTCTTGCGCCAGAGGTAGAACAAAGATAAGAGGACGACCAGCAATGTTAATGTTGCACAGACTACGCTCACAACAACTCTGAGCTTGTGGTTGTGTTCCATGTCATGAACAGAGTAAAGACAAGTTTCCTATCTCCTACCTAATGGAAGAACTTATAAGCTTTATTCCATTGCTTTTCCATTCTAGGGTAATTAATCGGAAAGTGGGAGCTCATTAATGCGCGCAAACAATAAAAAATCGTAGATCAGAGAGAAATATCTGGACGCGTCAGATCCCAATAACTCTCAGTTACGTTGCCAGCAAAGTAGAAATAAAGAAAAGGGATGAAAAGCGTCCTTCAATTTGCTGAAACCCAACAAACTCAAGAAAAAGCTTGGAGCTTTTTAAAATCCTAGAAATATTTTGAATTTTGAGGTTTCAGAGGTTCAAAGAAGATTCAATTTCTGGAAACCGGTCTCTTTCTTCTGGATTGAGGCCGGCGAGAAGCTTTTTGCGCAGAGAGAGAGAGAGAGAGAGAGACGAAATCGGTGAAAATAACATCAGTCAGTACACGCGGCAAAGTATCGGATACCCGAGCCATATAAAGGGTGATTGATGCACGTGATAAATAGGTTCCTTCTATGAGCGATACCGTGCGGTTACCTGCAGATGAGGGCTCGATTCTTAACCGTTGGATTCATGTCTTCAACTACTGGTAGGTTTTCTTGTTAGAATATTCGAATCTGACGGTTGAAAGAGGCTATTTCCTATAGAAACTTAAATGACGAAAATGCTCCTGTTGGGTTGTTATAGTCCATGCGTGCTCAGAGACAGAGCCGACGGTCAAACTCTGGATAATTTCTGTACCAGGAACCAATGGCTGTGATCTTTCGGCTACAGATGCAGGTGGGCCCACCATGTGTGATGAACTGACAAAGGTCTAGGCGTTGTTGGTGGTTCACTTTCACCAGATACCTTTTTTTTTTTCCCTCAAAGCTACCTATGTCCTAAGGTATGGTTGGGTTCAGTGGCGTATAGATGGATTCAGATTTCATTATCGAAACCACGTTGGCTCATTTAGCACCGTTGGATTGAGAGATGGAGAGATAAGATAGATTCACTTTCACTGTTTTGAATTTGAATTTACTAATGATAGCTTCGCGTGCTGCCACGTGGGGCCCTGTTAATCAAACAGATTAACCCCACAATAGAACAAAAATGTGAAAAATAAAATAAAAAAGCAATGAGTAAAAAAAACAAAACGAAGAGAAAAGTAGAACAGCAAATTTTGGAGGCAACATCATCAAAGAGTTGATGATGGGATGGAAGTGACGTGTTACACTGTAGTGAGTTGACATCATCAATTTCTCTCTTCTCCATTTCAAAAGCCTTTTTTTTTTCTGTAATTTCTAACCAGTCCAGCTGGCTAATTAATCGTGTGAATTTATTAAAGATTTGAGGTCTTTGTACCTGTAGTTTAAACAAAAAGAGGAGGAAAGGAATTAAGGAATCCTTTGATTGCTGCCGACACCTTACTGGGCTCATCATTTGTTGCACCCAACCTCCTCAAATAATCTCTCTCTCTCCCTTTATGCGACTCTCTTTTCACCCTTCTTCCTCGTCCATTGATAATTTTTTAAGAAAATTATCGATTAGTATACTGTATTTTGGGTCTAATGACACTTTGGTTCTTGAACTTTAAAATGTAATAATTCAATACCCAAAATTTTAAAATGTGCCAATTTTGATACTTGTTAATCGTTCCGTTAATCAGATATTAAGTGACACTTGAAAAGACAAAAATGCCTTTATAATGTCATCTAATTCTCTTTACCAACTATCAAATTTATTGACAAAAAATGAACAAATCTCAAATACTTGCCTCTTCTATTGAAAAAGTTGGGATCACCAAAATGACTACTGAGACGTGATTCCAACTTTCTTGAATAGAAGAGGCAAAGATTTGAGATTTGTTCATTTTTTGTCAATATATTTGATAGTTGATAAGAGAATTAGATAACATTTGAAGGACATTTATGTCTTTTCAAATGCCACTTAATAGCTTATTAACGACAGATAGTGGATTAATATGTTTTAAAAATTCAAGTACTGAATTGTCACATTTTAAAGTTCAAGGACCAAAGTGTCACTAAACCCAAAGTACAGAATACTATTCGAGAAATTTCTCTCCTGAACTACTCTTTCTTCATTCACCCTTTTACTCATCCATTGATAATTCTTCTGGAGGAATTGGCCTCTTGTTACTAAATACAAATCCATTTTCTTTAAAGCTGAAGGGAAGTAGAATACTCAGAAAGTAGAAACAAATGAGGTATTAATTTTATTTAATAAAATAAATGGGGCATTAATTTTAAGTTTCAGGTTTCAACCCACAAGCTTTACTAGCTTTGCCTACCCAGAAAAAGAAAGACACTTAAATTCAATGAGTTATAATTCAAAATATGTATATGGAGAAAAACTAGGAACTCTGATTGAGAATATTATCCCTTTTCCGAGAATACTTCAATTGAGGGCTTGAATCATGATTCATGACCCTCCATTGACTGAGCTTTTATTGACATCATTCAAGTTATTAGGTATAGGTTATTAGCTTTGAGAAGCAAATTAATGAGGTGTTTATGATGCCAGCTAGTGAAAGCTTTCTTAAACAGATACCCATTTGTTTACAACAGAACCAAGAAAATTAGATTACGTTTGCCAAGGGGATGACTGACCCAAGACCAATCCAGCCAATCGGTAGACTTGATACCACCAATTCAAATTTGAGTTATTTTTCTTTATTTTTATTGATTTTTCTTGGTATTGTACCAGAATCTTGACTAGTTCTAGTTTTGCTATGTATCCTTGCTCTTTGGAGGATATCAAAATAGAATGGAAGATGAGTAGACAACTCTCTTGGGTTCAGTCAAAATTAAGTTTGGTTGGGTCTTCAAAAACATTTATCACTAAAAACAATGTTGCCTGCCTTGGAGTTTTGTTTGCATCTGTGGGAGATCCCGCCCATGTAAAAGACTTTCGGAGCTCTTAGATACTAGTTTTTCTATCGAAAAAATAAAAACATTTTCTAAGCTTTTTGACCAGTAAAAGTTTTGGCATCTTTTCCCATATGAGTTTCAATTTGTCTTTAAAAGCCTTTGCTATACATACATGGTAGCTGTTTTCTGAAAAGATCCTTAGCAATTTTTCCTTGTTTTTTAGAAATGAAGATGTTGATTTTTAATTAATCAATATGGGTGTTGAGGATTTTGCTGTCATTGGCTTGATTTCATTGATAGCTCATTTCTTATTTGTTTTTGTTTAATTAGTTAGTCAGGACCACAACTTACTTTTTAGAAGTTGTTAGAGTAGTAGTTTATTTCTTTTTTAAGTTGTAAGCACTGGCTGTCATATTCTTGTCTTTGTACATTCACTCTTCTTCAGTATACAAGTTAATGAGAGAGGGGCGGGGCAGTCAGCATTATTGGCTTCTCTTCTTTTCTTCGTTCATTCTTCTTCACTTCTCTTCTCTCACAAGTTCTCTCTTCTATTCTCTTCTCTTTTATATTGATTTTAATTTTTTTGCTGATTTCTACTTGGTATTAGAGCCCAGTTAAGCCTTCTTGAAGGTGGGTGATCCATGCTGTCCTAGATTAGTTGATTGCATGAGGAAACAGAGTGTTGATTGATTGCCTCTGGTTTGCCCTGTTGTTGAATTTTTTTGGTGGGATTCAGTCATCATGAGGGTGGTTTGTGTTTAGGCATCAAAATCACGAAGAACTAGAGTGATGAGAAAAGTCATTAGGAGGTTTTTCTGGACACTTTAGGGGATTCAATGGAGGGCAGTTCAATTTCTGGCTCTCTTTGAGATTCTTGGAGAGCTCGATTGGATTTTCTCCCTCTTCTCTCTATCCATGGGAATGGAGAAATCTCTCTGGATTGCGTTTTCAACTTCTAGAAGAAACTCTCATCCTTTTTTGTGAGATTGATCTATCTTCGAGTATTTTTTAATTGCTTTCCTTATTGTTTTAAGTTGGTTGAGTTTTGATATGGAGGGCTATAGTGCTGAACAGAAATCAACCGACGAGCTAGGCTTTGGTGGAGGAAGTGCCCGTGACTGATTTGGATATACAATTATTACTACAATTAAATTGGATGGTACAAATTATCTAGAATGAGTACATTCAATTAAGATGGCTATTGGTGTAATGGAAAAATTGGGGTATATTACTCGAGAGGAGAAGAAGCCTGATATAAATCCTTCCTAATAGGTGCGGGAGAATTAAGAAAACAGATTTTATTGCATTTTTTTCAGAGATCATAGACATATATTCGAATTAGGCATGATTAACTGTCTTAGACATGCTCCATTAGTGTGATTTGGTTAGTATTCAATATTGATAAAAAAAAATATTCCTAGTCCTTGTTCCATGCTTAGAACTGGGACTTGCTTCCACACATTGACCTCACAACACATCCCACTATGTATTGGGAACACCTCCCCATGAATAATAACACATAAGCATGGGGGATTTTCTTGATGTGCGATTGGGATGTGTTGTAAGGTTGGTGTGAGGAGCAGATCCGGACTCCCATGATTAGCACTTGAATTAAATGGACCAAATGGTAGGGGTGATCAGTAAAAACTAAAAAACTAAATCGAACCAAAATTTTCAATTAACTGAACCGATCAGTTCAGTATTTTCAAAAAATCAAAGGTACTGGTTTAGTTTCAGTTAACCAATATAAAAAATCGGTGGTTAACCGAATTGACTGATATACATATATATTTATTTATAATATATTATAAAAACAAATAACTGAAAAAATGACAAATTAGACTGGTGATTAACCGAACCAATCAATCGGTTAACCTATTGGCTTGAGTTTGGTTTTGGTTAATGTTTTCCAAAAACCAGTACTACTAACTCAGTTTAGAAAAAAAAAAAGCCCACAATTCGGTTAAACAAACCATGGGAAGCCCTACTAAATGGGCAAAACAAGAGCCACGAAAGCAAATTTAGTACATATCATGTAAAAGAAGGAATGGAGTCTATGAAACAACCTTAATGAAAAAGATCTTATGATAGGTTAGGAATATCTTCTCTAGCCTTTCTTGTTCTTTGTTCAATGACCATTAAATGAGTAGTGATGGCAGGCAATCAGACCCACCCCCGCTGACCAGGGTCAGGGCAGGCTTCAGGAAACCCTTAGGCTATGTTTGCTTTGAGGGAAAAAAAAGAAAAAGTAGGGAAATTCATATAAGATTTGTAAAGGTTTTCCTACATTTCCTTTCTTTCCTTACTCTTTTCTTCCAATCAAACATAGCCTTAACTCACCTGACGAGAGTGAGGTGAGGGTGGTATTTGTCCACCACTCTCTTAATATGTGTGTGCGTGCACACGTGCATATGTATGTATGTATGTATAATATTATTATTATTATTATTTTAGAATGGATATATCAAAAGATACTTGATAAACCAAATCACCACATACACATGAAGACATTATGATTTTTAGAAGAATTTATAAAAAACAACTTGGTCAAGTTTGAATGCAACAACTAAAAATACAGTA